TTGTGTGTGTGTCTGTCACCAATCCTTTATTGAAACTGGTAACTTACACACTTTAAAACAGAACAACAAAAATAATGTTTGGTATGTACAGCCTTTATATGGACTATCTGACTATACACAAGGCAAAGTGAGGACATAGCTAACCACATCATCTGTGCACACAGACACCAAATGGACAACATGTGCACATTATAGTGAAATGACATCACAGGTTCAGTGGAAACTCAGCATAATACAAAAAGTACTGATCTATTGCAAATGACATCTTTCTCAATGCCCTGTTCCTGCTCATTAGTCATCTACCCAGAGTCAGACGCAGAGATTGGTTGTGTGGCTATAAGTCTCTTAAGTGAGACAACCTCTGCAGATAAGTTTGCTATCCCCTGCTTTAAGTACAAGTTCGCTGAGTCGGAAACTTTGTACCCATTGTCTTTAATTTCCACCACTCCAGTTTTGAAACCACTCTGAGTCTTGCCTCTCAGGTCTTTTGGATGCTGGTGTTCTGATTTGAGAGACCAATCTTGAATGCTCATCACCTGCACTGAGAAAGGAGGGAGGGAAGTATGTAACATACTCGGGGCATTATGCTTTCCAAGTTCAAAATGTCTTTTAGATGTCATGTCAATGGGTAAGGAGAGTTTTTGAGTGGCCTCAAACTCATTACCAAAGGTTTCTACTTTGATCTTCATGGCTTTGTCTTTGATCCAAAGCTTGTGTGGCAAGGCAGAAGAGTTCACCTCAGGGACTTTCACTACCATGGTGTGCATGCATTTGAGCTCCACTGGATAGTGGATGGGGCCCTTGGGGACCTGCTGCTCATCTTCCCCATCAGAGGACTTTCCCACAACAGTGTCATAGGTTTCGGAAATTCTTGGAGAGTTACTAGAGGATCTGTTGACTTGCAGGAGAGGAGGAGAGTGTGAGTAGCTGGCAAAAGAGCTCCCCATGTAGCTCTGGTAGATGGAGGCTGTATAGGAGCCCCGGTCATCTCTCAGTTCCCTTGGGAAGATCTCCAGCTCCACCAGCTCCTGCTTGATGACCTGGAACTTGCTCTCAGGACTTTAAAGAAATTTTTCTTTTCCTGGTCACTAATTGCAATCTTTTCTTCTATATCTGAAATTATGTCCTCGCATTGGCTCATTCTGCTGTGTAGACTTCCAATGGAGTTTTTAGTCTCTTGGAAATCTGTTTGTATCTGGTTTATGGATTCTGTTCATTTCCTATGCTGGGATTTCATCATGTCTCTAAGCTCCTCTATTTTTTTTAGTCTGTGTCCTCTCTAGATTTATTAATCATGTCTTGCACTATGGGCACAATCTCTGCTGTTATCTGAGAAAT